AGATTCGGTATGGTGGTTTTGAGCAGCATGAAAGGACGATAGCACCTCTTCGCGGATTGAATGTTCATTTGAATGAGAAGTTCAAAGTTGCATTTTGTGAAGATAATCAAGCAACAATTCACATCATTCAGACTGGAAATTCCGCACAGCTTCGTGATGCTGACAGAACACAAAGAACTTCTTTGGCGTGGCTTCGAGAACAATTTACGAAAGGTTTCTTCAATCTCGTCAACGTCAATAATAATACTGTGTGTCAGGTTGCGGACATCTTGACCAAGCCGTTTACGAGCAAAGCAAAATGGGATCACGCTTGCACTCTTATTGGAGTACGGTGGGTGCAGTTGGATGGAAACATTACAATCAAGCCAGCCCCCACTAGCGAAGCGCAAGCTTCCGCCGTTTCCACGCATGAAACCTATGATCGGTTCTTGTGCGAATTTTGCTGTTCTGATGATTCCAAGCTCGGCGACAAATCAAGATTACCCGCATTTGGTTGCAAGGTGCTTAGAGTAACTGAACGTCAGAATGCGTTGGTTGCTGATACGTTGCAATGGGTATTTGACGAGGTGCAAATTTTCAGGAAGAATGTCAAGTCCAAAACACCGCCCTGCGTGATGGTTCATGCTTCACTTCCGTGTACGGGTGGGTGCCCCTGGAACAATATCAATGGTCAGACTCAAGAAGGTCAAGCCAAGATCCAGGAGCACAAGGCGTTGTTTCGCAAACTGCTGAAGCGTTTGGATAAACTTATCACTATGCTTCGACAGCTTGACATTGTGCTTGTGATCAACATGGAACTTCCTAAGCTTTGCAGTTATTGGAATATTTCGTGCATAATTTCCTCATGAAATATGAGATGGTCAAGTACAATTGCGACGGTTGTATGTTTGGTGTCCTTGACAAGGATGGAAATTTGTTGCAAAAGTCATGGACTATTGCTTCTTCCTGTCAATCATTGGCCAAACTGCAACAGTATAAGGATCATCAGCATGGACAGTCCAGGGGGGCGGCCCTCAAACGTGCAGAATCTTACACGTATGAAATGACTGACCTGATCCATGAATGTTTTTCTGAGTTTGCTGACAGCATGAAACAGTTTGTCAACGGTGATGACGAGCTTTACATCGAACACTTTGTTCCAGGAGACAAGGCCTGAGGACCGCAAGACTATGGAGCAGATCCTCGGAGCACAAGCTACTCTGCAAAGCTCTTGCGCTATGTGGGCGGCTGACTACGGGGCAACCTGTGGCCGGAATAGCGTGTACCTCGTCGTGAGCGACTCCAGCCTCGCCTTGATCAGCGGTGGCAAGAAGAACCGCAAAAGGGCGGACCTCGCGCAGGACATGAACTACAACCGCAGCACGAGTTGTAGCCACTGCGAGGTGAGAATGTGTTGGGGAAAGGACCTCACATTTCTCACATGGACCGTGAAGAGCGCCATGAAGGAGCTCAAGAAACGGCCTGAGTTCAAGGACCATGACTTCTACGTGACAGTGTACTGGTCCGGGAACGAGCTCGTTGGCAGCGGTGGGATCTGCGACGAGCCCGAATGGCCATACCGATGTGGAGACGGTCACTGGCCCGAGCTGTTCAACAAGTGCGCCAAGGCGATTGACGTGCTTGAGGAGTGCAGGAGTTGGTGGAGCATTGCGAACATCACGATCTTGGCTAACACCGAAGGTTCGTACCACATGCTCCCGCCCATCTACAACCAGTTCATGGAAAAGTTGTTGGATGAGTCGCTCAGCAAGCGCAAGCTCCTTCGCAAGAAGGAGTCGACCTTTTTGGTGTCTCGACAGGACAGGCTCGACAACTACCACATGCTGGACTCCATCGAGAACCGGAAGACGACGGTGGAGTGGTTGTGGTCGCTTTTCAACGTCATGAAGTGCGTCGCTGTCGTTGAGGCCCACAAGGACGACTTCAACAACGTGAGGTTGCACCTTGAATATTCCCATGACGCCGAAGCTGGACTAAATCACGGCACTTTGGCTGAGTATGAGGCGAGCAGGAAACTCACGCTTGAGTCATGGGAAAGCCTTCAACGTCCTATCAAGCTCGCGAAGGGCCGCATTCTCGAAAAGATCGAGGAAGTCGAAATCAAGGAGGAGATTGATTACGACGACGATGAAGCACTCCCGCAAGGGAGTGCCGCTGAGGCTGCGCTTGGCGTCAAGGCCGCTCCGGCTACACCCAAGTTCACCGCGAAAGCATCGCCTAAGGTACTAGCGAAAGCAAAGACAGCAGCGGTGGCATCGGATGTGCGGGGGGCAACCCCTGCCGGAAGCGCATTGCCAGGCAAGCCCGGCGGCATCGTCACCTTCCGCGGCCAGCAGTACGAGGCAAGGATCCTCCCGGGCACGATTCTGAAAGTGCCGACCTTCCTGAAGGGAGAGCCTTCCTCGACTGACAGATGCACTACCATAACTGGAATGCTACGTGGCCGATTTCAGGATCACCGGCCATTGGACTTCGACGAGAACTACTTTGTCGACGTGCACCAGTTGTGCGACAAGTTCAACAGAAAGACCCGGAGCAACATCGGGTACAAGACGCTGTTGAAGATAATTGCATGTGATCCGAAATGCAGATTCACTGTTCTTGCGATCAAGCATCCTTCGGCTGCTGAGAACAACCAGGAGTGGGTTGTCATCAAGGTTCGTGCCAGTCAGGGACACGCCAGCAGCGTTGATGCTGATGGCGACATCAGCCGAAACCAGTACGCACTTGCGAAGGCTATCTTCGGGAAGTTTCTCCCGCAGGATGCTCGCAAGGCCGGACTGCAGCTTTCGCTGATCAAGGACGGCCCTGGCAAACTATACCATCGAGCCAGCAAGGCCGCAGCCGAGAACATCGTGAGGACGGGAGTGATTCCGGGCGGAGTTGGAGCAACCGAGAGCGGGCGTGCGCAGAGTCACTTCTCTATCCACCCCGTCGAAAGCTCCGCCTACAATGCAGGGGTTCGTGCCTCCATGCCGATCGAGCTCGTCGTTGACTTCAAATACGCGATCGAGCTCGGAGTGGTGTTTTTCCTTTCGGAGTCTGACGTCATGCTGACTGCCGACATCGTTCCCAATGACGCCATCCTGTACTATACAGATGCGCAGACAGGTGAAGTGCTTTGGAGAAACGCCCTTCGTCTTGAAGCATTGGAGAGCCAAACGACTGTCGACTCGCTCGCCGCAAGGCGAGCCGTCACTGTGAGGCCTTTCAGACTGACGCGGAGGGGAACAGGGCCACGAATCCCGAAGATGAGCAGACGAACGAGGACATGGCCGTCACTCGCCCGGGGCCGATTCCTCAGTCGTCAGGTTCAAGACCTTCGCCACGCCCGTCCACTACACGGACTGTAGCATCTGCGGCGAGGACATGATGCAGGGGCAGCTCAAGTGCCAGCGTTGCGGACAGAGCACCAAAGAGGGCAATGACGTCCAACTCTTCAGAGCTGCAAAGCGGAGAACGCAAATGCTCGAGGAGGTGAGTCACCGCGTTGGCAAATCGGTTGATCAGCTCCTCATCAACGATTTCAAGGGCTACGCTGATGTTGCGAAGCGAGGAGCAACATCCTTTGAGGCCAAGCAGATTGAAGCCTCGAAGAACTACGATAGCAGAGCCCGCAAGCTTGGATATGACAATGTGGTGGATAGGTTCGACAAGGATGCGACCTTTGCCCTTCGCATGGTCGAGCAAGGACACAATCGCGAAAGCCTCTACCAAATGTCTATCTATCGGTTTTGCGTCCTTCCCGAATTTCCACGAAGTTACGATCAGAGACTTCTCGGGGTTGGGCCAGGCTATGGAAAACGAGGGCTCCATTACGTTAGGACTGTCTACGTCACTGGAGGCCAGGTCGGGGACTATGAGACCAGCCTGCACTCGTTTCCATGGCTATTCTCGTATAACGGGAAAATGCTGAGCCTTCATCAATTCGTCGCCCAGGTCAACATCCTCCCGGGGATGCGCAACCTTGTCACCTTTGGCGGAAAGTTTCCTACGCTCCGGGCAACCGGAGCCGAGGACCTCAAAGCTGAAATCAAGGAGATTTGCTGCTGGGCGGAGGACGACGCGAAGAAGCTCGCACAGCGCAGCCAGAGGCAAAGCGCCGAGGACCGCGCCCGCGGACCTGTGCAACCTGCTCAGCCTGCCTCCAGCTCCGCTGCCAGAAGCCGCAGCTGTAGGGATTGGGGCAGTCATGATTGGAGCAGTTGGCAGTGGTCGACCTGGAGTTCGCGTGGCTGGTCTAGTTAGCGGAAGGTGGTGAATGCAATCGTCATCACAACGGAGCCCTTCTGAGTGGGAGTAGTAGCAGTTTGCATGCGCGACGGATGTGTAATGTCCATTTTCAACGTGCAATGGATGTGCGTGTTGAATCAAAGCGGGTTGCAAAACCTGCCAACATTTTCGTTGTTGCTCAATCTCAAATGAGGGGGGTGTGGATTCAGGTTCCAACCCTGTGCATGAGTGTACTTGTACATGCTCCGCCGCTACAGACTTCAAGATCGCTGGCAGCAGTGTGAAAAGGTAGTCAACGGTTTGCTGCTTGCCTAGGTATTCCCTTAGGTGGCCTAGGCTTGATAACACAGCAACACCGCAGTAGCAGAAGGAGGAAGCAGGAGCAGCAGCAAATAAGAGGGCTACTGGAAAGGTGACTCAGTCTGCAGCGCAAGGCTGCCATCGTCGCATCAACACCTAGTTTGGGCGCGGGTCAAGGAACAGCTTGCTTCCACGACATGAAGAGTGTTGGGGGGTCTATTTGGAACTCATGGCGCCTTACGTTGCAGTGTGACGCATTGGCTTGGGTTTCATGAACAACCTTCGCTTGACGGAGATAGTTGTTGGCGCAGGGGCGTTTATAGGTGCGCTACCTCGCAGGATAAGTCTAAGGTAGCAAAAGTTGTTCACGCGATGGTCCACATTCGTGCTGCGTCTCTTTCGGGTAACTGTGTGAGAACTGGTCAGCTATGTTCCTGCTGGAACACTGGAGCCAATATGTCGGCCAGGGGCTGCCGCGGCCAGTGGACCTTGCGCGAAGGCGTGCGGATGCGTGCTGCAGATGTTTGGCAAAGTTGGGGAGAGGACGCTTAGGGGTTCCCTAAAAATGATCAGGGCTGTCCACGATTGGCTTAGTTTAGAGGGTCTAGGCTGGTTTTGGTCACTGTGGGTGGGATGGGCGAGAAGAGCTTGGGTTAGATTCTAGATCTGTTTCAGGGCTTGCCCGGAAGGGGTCACGCACTGCTTTAAGCTGAGTTAGTGTAGTTTCTGCCAGGGCCTATTTCAGGGCCAGGCATGCGGAAACTGGACAGCTGGCAAGCTGCTTCCCATGCGTGAAAGTATCAGCTGCAGCCCCGGGCAAGGGACTGGGGCCGGCAAGAACTGGTTGGTGGCTCTGACGGAAGCCGCGACCGCGGGGCCGAGGTGATTTTAAGGGTCTTGAGTTGGTATTAGGTTGGTTTAGGGAAAGCTGGCTTCTTTGCGAGCCGGGTGTTCGAGAATGCTCCGGATACCTGAGTCTCCTCTTGGTAGTGTGATGTTTAAAAAAGAGAAACAGGACCCTGTTGGAGGCCACGAGTCTCAGGGTGCAAGCCCATGGCGGGGCATTTTGGTCAGATGGCTGCACAGAAACATCCTTCTTTACAAAATCAAGGAACGTCTTAGTTTCTTCCACTCAATCGAGGGTCCGAAGCTTGTTTGCCTCGGGTTGAAGCAGAGCATGTCCGGTTTGTCAGGCTTTGTCCTCCCGCTAAAGTCGACGGTTCCAAGGCCAATCATCGGCTTATGTTGGCAGCCAGGCAGAGCCGAACGCAGCAGGCCAGGCGGGATCAGGTCCTTGTCAGCCCCTTGGAGTGGGTTGGCCCTGATCCAGCCAAGGCTGACCTGAGTTCAAAAGAACACGGTAAAAGCAAACCTATTTTGCCGGCTGGCAGCAAATCCTGCGGGTTTAGAATACATGCAAAATGTAAATCCTGCGGGTTTAGAATACATGCCACATGTAAATGGATGGAAATGGGCTGGTGACTGCTCGGTATGAGGAAGGTTTGTGTGGTTCTTTATGTTTTCAGCACAAACTTCGCCTGATATCTCAAAACACTTACACACATGTCACTATTTGACGTCTTATGTTCCATTGTGTTGCTGCAGGTCCTTGGGCAAGCCCTTCGCAGGGCTCGGCGGAAGTGCGAGGATGATCAGTTTGCAGGCTGTGCACGCAGCTGGGTACAGCCTCAAAGCCGGGTCTATCCACAAAAGAGAGACAGAGAAAGAACCAGGTGAGTGACAATGGCAGTCTGCACCGAGCGGAATAATTTAAGATTTTGCATTGGTATGTCAATCAAACAATCTTTCACCTCAGCAAGTATGCTGCGGTTGTTTGATAATTTTTCCTGGTCTTGTACACACGCATGTACCAAGAGCATGGACTGGTGATCTAGTTCACTGGGTTCAAGCCCAGGACAAACAAACGTTTGGCCAGGCGCCACTCTTTGCCTCAAGTTTGCGACTTTTGGTCTTGGCAAGGCCCTTCAAAGACAAGGTGAGCTGCGGTCGGTGGCTTGGTGTGGATCGCGCAAAGAAGGTTGCTGCCAAGCTAACTAACATATGATCCGAAGATGACACCATTTCCAGTAGTCTACTTCATTTTGGGGGGCATGCGGGATATATCCGAATTTTTGCTGTGCATTCATGGATTTATAGGAGAGTGTATGCATATATTTGATTACTTTACTATACTATTCATATGTACATGTGTGTATACAAAATGAAGGCTTAAACATAGAAGTTGCTTGCACGCTATTTGCCAACTGTTCAACTGGCTGAGGTATTTGTGCTGAAAATGCACGTGCCAATGAATCTGCTGCCCAGTGTCCCTTGCGCGAAGCTTCCATCATGTTACCTTCCCTCGGGCCGTGCGTGAGCAAGAATGACTTTGTCTAAGCCAGAGGCCAAGGTTGCAGGTTGAGCACATGATTCCATTGCCAACTGGCCCGATGCGTCAAGACTTCAATGGCAGCTTGTTGCCAGAGCACAATCACCGAGAAGCTATTTGGGATCTTGGAATCGCCGAATTCACTACTCGCCGCTCGCAGAAATGACAGCAGCGGTCAAAAAGGTCGACTTGGAGTCTAAGAGCAGCTTTGAAGCGTCCAGCGGTCCAAACCTAGTGACGTGATGTTGAATGATACCCTCTGCAAACTAAACATGGACTGGGGATAGCATGTTTTTATGGATCCGTTGTAGGACTTCAGTGATAGGAGGGTATACTTGTGAATTGTTCTTCCATTTGACGCGCATTTTCCATGTGCTGCAGCCATGTGTGTCCTTTCCAAAGCGGACAGGTTTCTCTTCTCAGCAGCCACCTGTGACAGTCCTTTCACCCATTGACTTGTGTCTCGTTTGGGCCTTGGCATTGGAGTTCGTCGCTCGCCAGGGTGGCGCCTCCCATACCAAACTGATGCAGCCTGCAGTGCAGCAGCTTCAGGCGGAATCATGTCGCCCATCTCGCGGTGTGTGTTCTCTTTTTCAGCCTCAGCCCAGGCGACCCTTATGTGGTGGTTTGGATTGGTGGTTTGGGGACTTGACCCGCAACATCCAAACAATCAATCCAAACCACCAAATAAGGGAAAGCTGAAGAGCGGAATTGTCCATTTGATCGTTGGTCCTGAACCCTTCTTGTTTGCCCATTTGCTGAACCCGCCAAAGGGTCAATGTGCCGCCATGAAAGTCTGCCCCGGCCGCAGGCCAAGCTGCGAGCACTCCTGCCGCGAATGCCGAGACCTCTTTTCTTGCCAGGGAAGTGGACATGTTGGCAATCCAAGAAGCCACTCTCACGCAAGAAATCCTCATCAATGTAATGGTTGGGGTATGCGCAAAAGGTATGGAGGATTCTTGGAGAGAAAGAAGCCGAGTTTAGGCCAAAGAGGAAGGCTGCTCACAGGTCAAGCCAGGTCCAACTGTTGCTATCTTTGGTTGTTCAAACTCAAGCTGCGAATTTCTTTTCGCATACACACGCACACACCTCTGGTACCTGATGCAAGCTGTAGATTGTGGCATTGGAGCCAAGGTCTACCTAGACCCTTTTTTCTGTTTGGGGGGAGGGGTTTTGGGTGGACGCGGGTAGTGCGCACTCTTGTCAGAGGGCATGTCCATTAGCTAGCTTCCTGCGCAGGGTGTGGCTCAGGTGTGGCTCATCCAAGGAAGTTTCGAGGGAAATTCCGTGGTCCTGGAAATATTTGAGCTTTGCTGTCGCTCAGAACTTAGAACAGCATGCGTTGTGCATGAAAAAACAACAAGGAGGCTGGAAAGCAGTGATAACTGGGGAACACAAGCGGGCCAACCACACCCCGCGTGTGAAATCAGCTCTTTGAGAGGCGCGCAACAAGGTTTGCGCTTTTGACCTTGATGGCACACGCGCGTGTGACGGTTGTCGGCACACGGAAGAGCTGACACAGGATCAGATGTCAGCGCTGACAGCTTACTCAGTCGCAGGCAGTTTGGGAGCAAGATGGCGTGTGTGATGAATCCCAGACCTACACCGTCTTGCTTGAAAAAGCAGTTGCCGAAATCAAATTGGAAGTGACTATGGCAGATCTTGGTCCCGACGCGTGGCATTGTGAATGACGTGCATGTTTGTGCCACTAGACGGGCTGTTGTGTCTATTCTCTAAATTGGTGCACGATCCATGAACTGACTGGCTGTTGGTTGTAGGTCATTCATTTGTTTTGTTTCCGACAGCTGTTTTCAAAGTAGACGAAGCGTGACGGTGCTGCAAGGTCACGGCCCCGGTGCTCAGTGGTCATGAATGCCACCGGCAGGCTGGTAGCAACACTCCGCTGTTGCAGAAATCATGCCTGCAGCAGACGGTTTGTTAATGAGCAGATGTTCCGGCATGCTATGTGTATCTTCCAGGGCCATCGACTGGACTACAGAGCCGGAAGTCGTGATACAGCTTCTTTGTGAGAGCCTTAGTCAGCAGTTGAGGGTTCAGCCAACGCGTGGTGATTCCGGCTTTTGTGGTGACATTGGAAATTCGAGGTGAGCAAATGATTATGCCGGTGAGATGGAAGGAGCGCTGGCAGCATCAGGCTTGTACTGGTAGGCTTGTGCTGGTAGCCTAGTAGCAGTCCTTGAAATCTTGGTGGTTGCCCTCAAAAAGCGACGTGTTTCGAAACGCGATCTCCTGCAGAAACTCTGTTGGAAAGCCCAGGATCGAGAAGTGACGTGCAAAGCGTAGTGTTTGTTTTTGTTTGTGTGTGCCCACCAAGAGTGACTTGTTGAGACAAACATGAAACAACTGGTGGAACCGAGTCCAAGCACGCTGTAATTTGTCGTGCCAATTCACAGGAGTCCATGAAGACAATGGGCAAGATGGAGCTGGACGTGATTTATGAGTGTGGGCCAAAGAAGCAGCTGAAGGCCAGGAGGTTCCATATTTCGCGAGTCAAAGGCGTGTGGCAAACCTGAGTCAGTGGAATAGGATACCACATTGGCCAGCGCATTGTGCAGCGTGCATTTCAAAGGGGTACCCACGTATGATGCACCGGCGGGCAACATCGCCATCATCAAACATTTTGGTGCAGAGCTGGCTCCGGGAGTTTGTCAGTTGTTCGTATGCGAGCGCGTGCTTGAGGCATTTTGTACGCGCATGCGCAGGCACGGCGTCTGTTGCTCTTCTCTCTGCCTCACTTTCTCTCACTCTCTCTCTCTCTCTCTCTGTCTCTCTCTGTCTCTCCTTTGTCTCTCTCTCTCTCTCTCTCTGTCTCTCTCTCTCTTTGCTTCTCTCGGTATGAACTTGTGTTCGTGCGTGCGTGCGCGTATGCGCGCGTGAGCCTAGGTGTGTTTGAGCGAATTGTCTTGTGTGATTGTGTCTATGCATGTGTTTGTGATTTGATGTTTATGAGTTAGCACGTGTGTGTTTGCTTGCTTGCTTGCTTGCTTGCTTGCTTGCTTGCTTGCTTGCTTGCTTGCTTGCTTGCTTGCTTGCTTGCTTGCTTGCTTGCTTGCTTTCTTGTTTGTTGTTTGCTTGCTTGTTTTTGTTGTTTCTTTGCTTGCTTGTTTGTTGTTTGTCAGTCTGTGCTTGTGTGTTTGTATGGCATTGTGTGTCTGAGACTGCGTGCGAATGCGCATTGTGACATACTGAACAGCACAGAATCGAGGAAGTTTATGTCCTGCCGCCGAATGAGTTATTGATCGTCCATTGATCGTAACGATGTTTTAATAAGGGTATGTCACAGAAAGGCACAATCTCTACATTGCAGCTGAAACGGATTGTCCATGTTGCTGGTGTTGCACGTGGGATTTCAAGGCACCGCGTTTGGAGCTGCAGGCACTCATGCGGCGCATCGACAGCGACCTTTGGGCACGCACTGTCAATGTGGAGGCACCCGCCGCTTGTGAGAATGCAGGCCATGAGCCGTAGAGCCAATTAGGCGGTCCAGTGGCCGTGTGATGTCGGCGAGGAAACCGGAGGACAGCATGGCCAGCCAAGGCACCTCGCAAGGATCGTGTCAGCCAAGCACGTGTGAAGCTACGTAGACATGTTCCAAGTTGTTGAAGGAGCACATGACAGACTGGCCAGGCACGCTCATGCATTGCACTCTATATATAATTGTCCATATAATAGTTGCTTCTTGTCTCTCATTCCTACGTTGGTGATTTCATGAACATGAGAGCCATATGGCTGCTAGTAGTGACCTCTAATAGTGACTATTAGTGGTGGCTATTGTCCTTCCCATGGCTTCCCTTGTGGCTTTGAATCAGCCCACTTTGGCTCCAGGTTTGAGCTCCAGGGCATGGGGTGAGCGACGAGCGCCACATTTGCGTTTGGCGCTCGGGAAAAAACGGCTGGCCAAGGCCCAAATGGCAATGCCAGCAGCCGCACTCGTGCAACAGAAGTCAGCTGTGAGTGGCAAAGAGGGACCATCCAAGATGTGACTGTGAGTGTAACAAACTTAGTTTACAGTGTGAGCATCCTGAATGCACTGCGTAAATGGCTCAAGCTTGCCACTGACCCTTTGCGGTAGGAAACCGGAAGAGCACTTTAGGGCCGTCATCACTGATTGCTGACTGACATGTGCATATGTTAGAAACAGCGCATGGGGTCTGCACTGCTGTATTGGGAGGGAATATACAGAATTATCAGGAGCCCTGTCTCACTTTGATGATGCGGTGCAATGGGATTGCTTCGCATATGGCTCACGTGAGTAACCATTGGAAACGGGTATCAAGTCTGGTAGTATTGCGGTATTGCTCGTTCAGTTTGTATCTTACAGACTTTGCACAAGTCTCACAGACCAAACTCAGCCAAATCTCGCAGCGATGAGACCTGTCAGGGCCAGGGGTCAGGCGTATTTTCCAGCATCGCCATGAGAAGTGCAGAGGCTGCGCCCGAGAGGAGCGCCAAAGGCTGGCATCAGAGGGCACATGGAATTCAATGGACGCCTAGGACTTTGTTGATCAAACAACCCTCAAGCAGGAGGTCGCACCCACCCTAGTCCAGTGAGTTCATCCTGCTGAATCAAATTGTGTTAGACCAAAAGGACACCATTTCGGCGCGACTGTTTAAAAACCATCTTGGCGCCAAAATGGAAGGCAACTGATAATTACCCTCACAACAAGTCGCACCCGTCCCAAATTGTTTTCCTTCAATTCAAGCGACTTTCGACTTTTTCGAAGGGCTGCAGCGGCTGCTGGACATCCCGGGGCTCCTGGGGCGCGCTGCTCGCTTCACCGACGCCCGTGGTCTTTGTGGCCTCGAGACCTCAGCCAGGCCCAGCCGGACGATTCTCGCCGCGCGATGCGGGGCGTCGCGCGACGTGGGGGTTACAGTAAACGGTTTGGTCGCAAATGGGTTGGGCGTGGGTTTTTGGAAGCTGCTTCTTTTGGGGGTGTGACACCGGATGAATCAACCCTTGGGTCTACCATTGGTGTATGATTGGACAAGACCCAGCTTTGCCGCCAATGGGTGTTTGTTCATTCGGTTCCCGCTAAATCAACCAATAAAGGTAATGCCAACCCCGATTTAGATTGGCCAACCTTGCGTATAATTAAAGACTCTGTTTCCCGCGACAGGGAAGGTTTCCTCTTGAATGGACCCCCCCTCATATGCCAATTAACGAGGGAGTCATTCCTCTCATGTTCCCATTGGCGTCTCGGTCGGGTCAGTGTCACGTACGCGAAAGCCAGATATCAAAAGGCCAGAAGCGTTGTGTTTAAGTACCATCCATCATATATATATATACACACTGTGTACATATATGGTAGCCCGCCCGCCAAAATCTACCTTTTTTATGAATGATGTTTGGTTGGCTTGCAGTCGTGCGCTGTGTGTGCGGTGAACTTCTATGCTGGTGGTGGTTGGTGCTGATCTTAACCTGAGTTATTTGCTTTTGTGTCGGTGTGTCGTTGTGCACTATTGCGTATGTATATTTGCTTGGCATTGCACGAAACTCATGGCCTTCCTATCTCATCGAACACTCATTGTGTGTGCAAGTCGCGATTGTGAAGAA